GCTCAGCCCCAGCGCCTACGGAACGCGTCCCGTGCGAGAGCAGCTGGCGGCCTGGGGGCGGGGCGTCAGCCAGACGCCGCTGCAAGGGGCCGGGGCTCAAGCTGCCTGCGGTGGCGATGTTTGGCGCCGTCCTGTTCCGCCCTGTTGTTAACCCGGAGGGGTGCGGTGCCTTGACAGGGTTACTCCGCCCCCCCAGCCTAGCCTGTTACCCTGCGGGTTTGTTTGTTTTTTAATGTTCCTCTGAAATCTCAGGTCTGCTCGGGCTACTTCTACACTGCAGGCTGCTTGCCCAAGAACTGTTTTACACACGAGGTCTTGTGCAAAGGGTCTTCCACAAGAGCGCATCCACACGGCCATGTGCTTTTGCACAAGGTGTCTTTGCCAGTGTGGACTTCTCTTGTGCAAGAAAGCTCTGATGGCCGTTTTAACCGTAGGGGTTTCTTGTGCAAGAAATTCATGTTGCCTGTCTACACGGCCTTCTTGTGGCAGAGCTCTTGCACAAGAGGGCTTATTCCTCAGGGGAAGAGGAATAACTCTTCTGGAAGAAACCCTGTTTTCTGATGCTGGTCTATAAACTTACTTGTGCAAGAATACGTGTGCAGTGTAGCTGCTCTGCAAGGTTTTGTGCAAGAACAGCTGTTCTTGTGCAAAAAGCCTGCAGTGTATACATAGCCCTAGTGATAGCATAACTCTTTCAACCATGACAGTGGCATGCAGGCAGAACTCCAATCAGGCCATTCACAAGTCCCCCTCCTTGAGGAAATTCACCCCACGTGTAAGAGAGCTTCCTGATTTCCAAAAGGTTAATACTACACGCAGTCCCCGGGTTATGTACAAGATAGGGACTGTAGGTTTGTTCTTAAGTTGAATTTGTATGTAAGTCAGAACTGGTACATAATGTAGGGGAAACTCTAGCCAAACATTTCTCCAGAGCTCAGTTTTATTCTCCCACACCTCACTTCCCTCAGTCCTTTATTCTCAAGCTGAGGTGTCTGCTGAGAAAAGCTGCTCTGCGTCTCCTTGGTTGGCTAGCTTCACGTCTCCCTGGTCTGCTGGGGGGAAGCGGCTAGTGCGGGGTTGCCTCACCCCATTTTTAAGTAGGGATCCGATGTAAGTCGGATCCATGTAACCCAGGGACTGCCTGTACATTTTTTCAAGACATAAGGAATGAAGTAAAGGAACCTCTGCTTTTTTACTTTCTCTATTCAAAGAGGCATAATTTAATCTTACAGATCATAGAATACTTAGAACTGAAAGGGACCTTGCATCATGTCCAGTCCCCTGGACCAAACACCTAAACCAAGAGTGGGGAACCTAAGGCCCGGGGCTAAAAATGGCCCCCAACGCAAAAAAGGTTCCCTACGCACAACCTCCCCCATTCCTGATAGATAGGCATCTAATCTGCTCTTAAAAATCTCCAGTGATGGAGATTCCACAACCTATGTAGGCAATTTATTTCAGTGCTTAACCAGTTGGAAAGTTTTTCCTAATATCCAACCTAAACCTCACATGCTGCGATTTGAGCCCATTGCTTCTTGTCCTATCCTCAGAGGTTAAGGAGAACATTTTGTCCCCTCCTAGTTGTAACACCCTTTTAGGTATTTGAAAGCTATGTCATGTCCCCTTTCAGTCTTTTCTTTTCCAGACTAAACAAACCAAATTCTTTCAAACTTCCTCCATAGGTCACTAGAAGATTTACCTAGTGTTGTTCAGCTTAACAAACTTTTTGTTTTTTGGAAAATAAACTGAAAATGTCCATGCTTCATTTAAATCAATGCTCTGGGTGGGGCTGGTGTTGAGGGGTTCAGTATGCAATGGGGATGTTAGAAAATGTTTAATAATCATGTAACTGCAACCATTCTTAGTAGTTACATGATTATTCAATGGTCCTTGGGGGCAGTGCCAGCAGCCAGTGCATTCCTGGCTCCACTCCCAGGCATCCCCCCATCATCCCATGCTGCTGCCTCTGGTACAGAGGCAGGATGGCAGGTGGGTGCACCCTGACATCCCAACAGAGGTTCCTCCAGCATCCCATGGATGGGGAAGCAGGCAAGACCTAGTTTTTAAACCAGTACCTGGTCTGGACTGGTTCCCTCTTGCTGCCCCATGTTGCTGCCTCTGTATCAGAAGCAGCAGTGTGAAGCTGCAGGTGGCTCCCCAACAGGCTGGGAGTGAGACAGTGCACAGGTCCAAGTTTTTAATGCAGAGCATGCAGAGGAGGGAGGGAATTTGTGGTTAATCACTACGGTTAACTGATAAGCACTTACTTAAATGGTTATCCATCTAGCCACTAACCTCCCCAGTATGCAGGCTGCCCTGGGGAGAGAGGAATTGTTCAGCCCCCTATCACTCCAGAAGCTTGGGGCCAAGTGAGAAGTACCTCTTCATGGTGAGGAGGAGTGTATGTCCTCCAGCTTGGACAGGTCCAGGTCGAGAGCCATCTTCCCCTACGCTCTCCAGCAAGAATGAGGTATGCAGCAAACTGCACTTTCCCCTCGCTCCCCAGCAATGTCCCCCTACAAATTAGGGTGGGGGGTAAGGATATTAAGAATGGGTAATACTCTAATCCGTAGGTGATATAAATTGTATTGACTACATGAACCTACCCCTGCTGCGCCTCTGTAGTTTAAATGTAATAGGAGCTGGGCTACCAGAGCTCCCGGCTCTTACTATATTTAAACTGCGGAGCCACAGTGGCCATAGCTCCTGGACATGGCCTGAGCCAGGATTGAGTCAGGATTGCTCAGTCCCAGCTCATGCTGGGTCAAGCAGCCTCTGTCTGTGGGAAGAGAGGGGGTCCTAACTCTGAGGCTTATTGGGTAGTTGGGTTCTTGCTTACATCCCTAGTGGAGCAGAGCGTGGGGGGGTAGGAAGGCTTCAGCCCTCCCCCCACTAAAGGGCACCTGTGGGGTTGACAGTACCTCCACCCTGCACCTCTCACCTCACTGGTGATTCTGTCTCTTTTCTGTGTGGTTTTATGAGAAGCAATCCTATTCCAGGCACAGCCCATTTTCCTGGCACAACTAAACCCTTATCTTGCTTTAAGTTATATGAGGAAGTTGTATACTAAATTTGGTGGTCCTACCTCTTCCTATTTAGTTCTTGAACAAACACACAGACAGAGGGATGGCCAACTCTCTCAGATATACAGTAGATCTTTTCTAGACCTTTAATAATTTTTGTTGTTCTTCTCTGGACCTTCTCCAATTTCTCCACATCCTTCATGAAAGGCAATGCCCAGAATTGGATACAAAGACTTCTCGTGTCTTGCTCACAATACCCCCGTTAATGCATTTCAGAATCATGGTTTGTTTAGCTTAGAAA